ATGTGGATTTTCAGGGTGAAGCGGCCGCCGGGTTCTCCGCCTGCCTTCAAGGTGCGTTACGTTGCTCGAGGCTTCAGTCAGCGACAGGGAGTTGACTTCTTCCAGACCTTCTCCCCTACCCCGAAGATGACCACTCTTCGGGTGCTGCTGCACGTCGCCGCTCAGCGTGACTACGAGCTTCACTCTCTTGACTTGAGCACAGCCTTCTTACAGGGCACTCTGCACGAGGAGATCTGGCTGCGCCGCCCACCTGGCTTCACTGGGTCGTTTCCTGCAGGTACCCAGTGGAGCCTCGGGCGGCCAGTCTACGGTCTCCGCCAGGCGCCTCGCGAGTGGCACGACACACTGAGGACGACGTTTGCGGCTCTTAGGTTTGCTCCTTCGACTGGTGACCCGTCGCTGTTTCTACGCACCGACACTTCTCTGCCACCGTTCTACATCCTCGTGTACGTCGACGACTTGGTCTTTGCCACTGCACTTCTGACATCAGCAACCCCAGGCTCAGCACCCCCAGGCTCTGCACGCTCAGGCTCAGCACCCCCAGACGCAGCACCCCTAGCAGAACCACCCCCAGCAGCACCAGAGTCGACAGCGACCTCGACAGGCTCAGCAAAGGAGAGTGGGTCTACCTGAGACACACCTGAGGGAGCAAGACCCTGAGGGGGGAGGGGTCTACCGGAGGGGGACCTAGTGCGAGGAAGAGCGGCGGGGAGGGGGGAGAGGGGCAGTGCGGTAGGGGAAGAGCCGGTAAAAGGGAACCGACTCGTCGAACGTGACGTCCTGAGAGGGCAGGACACGGCGCGAGGTGGGGAGGTAAAACTGCCAGCCAGGCGCGTCAGGGGGAAAGCCAAGGAAGACACAGGGAATGGCGCGGGGGGAGAGATTGTCCGTGGAGGTATCGCGGACAAAGGCACGAGAGCCCCAGACCCGGAACACCGACGCATCGCCAACCTCTCCCGTCCAACGAAGTGTAGGCGAGGTCTCCGGCAAGGAGACACGGGGCCAGAGGTTAAGCTGATGCGCAGCGTACCGGACCGCAAACGGCCACAGAAAATGGGGAGCAGTCGCATGGATCATGGAGGTACGAGCGACCTCCATGACTAAGCCAATGTGGCGCTCAGCAGCCCCATTCTGCTACGGAGAGGCCGGAAGCGTGAACGACTGGCGAATGCCCTCCCCACGACAAAAGTCCCGCAAGAGGTCGGAGGCAAACTCACCACCTCTGTCAGAGTGCAGACGCAGGACAGGAAGGTCCTGGCGGAACTGCTCGCGGAGCTGGAGACGGACAGCGCGGATCCAAGGGATCAAAACATCAGGGACCTCCCCCTTGCTGCGCAAGGGGAAGACCGTGGTGTAACGCGAGTAGTCGTCAACAACCAGCAGAAAGTATCGCTCGCGGCCCTGTCCACGGACGCGGGCTGGGCCCCACACGTCCATGTGGAGAGTCTGCAGGGGAGCAGTCGTCGGGGGAAACGAGGAGGAGTGAGGAGCGGCGCGCTGCCGCCCCTCGACACAGGGAAGGCAGGGAGGAGCAGGCGAGGGTGGGAGGGGAGGCAGAGACCTGGGAAGACCAGAGACAAGGAGGCGGGAGTGCATGCCACGAAGGCGTGGCAGGGAGGGGTGACCAAGGCGGTGGTGCCAAAGGAGAGTCCGGTGCGACAGGAGGCGACACGAGCAGGGTGCTGCTACCGGACCTGACGCGGACACCTGACCAGACGCAGCTACCTGAGGAAGCTCAGTAGTCAGTGTGTACAGACTCGACCCAGGCCGACGGGTGAACGTGGCCTGGTGACGGCCCGTCCGTGTACACGTGCAGATCGACACACGCTGACCCCCAGGAGTGGTGGTGGTGACCATCGCATCCTGGAGGGCAGCGGTACTCACTAAGTTCGTAGAGAACGAGGGGAGGTGAAGACCTGAGAGTGAGCCGGACGGAACCGCAGGACATGGGAGAACAGTGGAGGAACGTGCAAGAACTGGGCCCCCTGAGGGGTCAGCCAGTCTGACTGCAACAGGTGCAGGGAGTGGTGTGAGTGCGGTACTGTCACGAAAGAGACAGCGGGAAGCACCTGAGTCAAGCGTGAAGGTGTGCAAGGCCTCAGCATGCGCAGTACTAGGGAGAGTAGACTCACTAGCACCTAGAGCAGCAGCCTCTATACCTGGGTCGGGCGGCACACACAGGTAACAGTCACCCTCAGCACTAACAGTCAATGCTTACATGGCAGCAAGGATAGCATTATAGTCAAGAGCAAAGATATCCACACCCTGCCTAAGCAGCTCTAGCCAGCGGGGGAGCTCAGTCGCATCGGGAAACTCTGCGCGCCAGGCATCGTCAAGACGGGAGAAGCAGCAGGACTGTGTGTGACCAATCTTCCCGCATGTCTGACCAGCGCGGTCACCTGTGCGAATGACGTACTGGCAGCGAACACTACCCCCAGACGCCCCACGCTGAGAAAACCACTCACGAAGCTCCTGGGGCGTAGGGGTCTCACGCGGACGCTGCTGCTGCTGCCTCTGACCACCGCCAGAACCTCCCCGCTGACCGACTCCATCCCGACCGCCACCACTCCCACTGCTGCCACCACTTCCGCCGCCACCACTCCCACTACCGCCACCACCGCCGCCACCAACGCCTCCACTCCCACCACCACTCCCTCCGCCACCACCGCCACCTCCACCGCCTCCACTGCCCCCACCACCGCCTCCACCGCTGCCACCCCCACGGCTAACGGTAAATGGTTGCGAGCGGCTAGGCGAGCAGCAGCGTCACGGGTAAGCCACTGTGAGCGAGTCGCACTGTCAGCTGTGTCGGGAGGGGCGAGAGAGGCTCCAGACGTGAGGTCAAACAACGAAACGCTGTCTCTAGAATCGCTCAGTAGGAATAGCTGTAGGTCATCGAGCCACGTATCGAACTGGATCGGACGGCCCTTAGGATCGAACGTGAGGACGCTGAGAATAGCCATAGCGGGCAGAGCAGGGTGGCGCGCGAGCAGCAGGGCAGCACGCAAGCAAGGACGGCGCAACGGGCAGGGCGGCGCGCAAGTGCTAGGGAAGCGCGCAGGGCAGGGCGGGGCGGCGCACGGCTAGGGCAGGGCGGCGCAACTGGCAGAGCAGGGCGGCGGCCAGCAGGGCGGCGTGCGGGCAGGGCAGGGCAGGGCAGGGCAGGGCGGCGGCCAGTAGGGCGGCTCGCGGGCAGGGCAGGGCGGCGGCCAGCAGGGCAGCGCGCAGGCAGGGCAGGGCGGTGCGGCGGCCAGCAGGGCGGCGCGCAGGCAGGGTAGGGCGGTGCGGCGGCCAGCAAGGCGGCGCGCGAGCAGGGCAGGGTGACGCGGCGGCCAGCAGGGCGGCACGCGGGCAGGGCAGGGCGACGCGGCGGCCAGCAGGGCGGCGCGCGGGCAGGGCAGGACGGCGCGGCGCTAGCAGGGCAGCGCGACGGGCAAGGCAGGGCGGCGCGCGACTAGCAGGGCGGCGCGACGGGCAGGGCAGGGCGGCGTGGCGCTAGCAGGGCGGCGCGATGGGCAGGGCAGAGTAGCGCGCGGCCAGCAGGGCGGTGCGACGGCCAGGGCAGGGCGGCGCGGCAGCCAGCAGGACGGCGCGCGGCTAGCAGGGCGGCGCGACAGGCAGGGCAGGGCAGCGCGACTGGTGGGGCAGCACGACGGGCAGGGTAGGGCGCTACGAGCAGGGTAATGCGCTACGGGCAGGGAACTATTTGGTGTGCCCTAAAAAAAAACGGTCCTGCAACAGGACCTGCTCTGAAACCATGTCAGAATACTGAACGAGAATTAATGCATTGAGTAGGAAGTTGGTACAAGTACTAACCCTAATTGGGTTGTACCCCTTATGGGCTACCCCACTACAGCCTACACAACATAAACAATATAACAGTTTGACAACTTTATATATAGAGTGCAAGGTATATGAGAGGACCTAGGCTAGCCATGTAGTCTACGGGGTACATTCCCTTATTGCAGCGATTTTTCAACCATGTGGCGTGTGGGAAGCAGTTACGAATCTTTTCCCGCCAATTCCTTGGCGATGTAGCTGATGCTTTTGCCGTTGACAATCCAAATTCTCCCAACTGTGTCAAAAGTAGATCAATATATTGTTAGGCTATTGTAAAGCTAACCTTATGAGGTACAACTTTCTAAGGTTTCCTATTTGTACTCCCATCTTGTTAGTTGAAGTCATTCCGATGTTTCCACATTCTAACAAACTGTCCGTGACGATTCGCGTCACTTGTCCCTTCACATTCGTACTCGCTTGTGGGTACTTGTTGTTACAAATAGAAATGCACAGCACTCATTATTTTCTTTATCGTAACACCCCCCTTCATTCTTCGCCATCGCAAGTCTTGAATTGCTTGACCACTTTGCTCAGTGCGGCGCAGTGCTGATACTGCTGGCTAGACAATTGCTTCATGAGAAAGTCAGCTCCCAAGCCGGTATTCGTCAATCGCACCAAGCACATTGGCCTGCGATATTTTTTCGTCAAAGACGGGCTATACAGAGAGAGAGAGAGAGAGAGAGAGAGAGAGAGAGAGAGAGAGAGAGAGAGAGAGAGAGAGAGAGAGAGAGAGAGAGAGAGAGAGAGAGAGTTTAGGGTTTAGGGTTTAGGGGTTTAAGGTTTAGGGTTTAGGGTTCAGTGGTGTGGCTGATTTTTTCGCTCGTTCGAGAGAGCGAGAGAGAGAGAGAGAGAGAGAGAGAGAGAGAGAGAGAGAGAGAGAGAGAGGCACCTTGCCCCTGCCCTCTCCCTTAGCCCTCTACCCTATCTGTTCCTTAGTATAAGAGGCCCCTCTTGGCCTCTTGCCTCTCATTATTCAGTGGTGTGGCTGATTTTTTCGCTCGCGTCGACCGCCTTCGGCGGCCGACGCTCGACAGCGCGGCCTTCGGCCGCGCGCTAGGGACGGCAAGGGAGAAGCAAACAAGCGACTATTGGCAAGACATACAACGGATGACAACAACTACTTCTACCTAAGACAACCATGGATCAAGCCGGGGCGGATGCTACATCCGATCCGCCTGCAGGGCATGCAGAATGCCCGTCATCGTCTGCCACACCGAGCGGACCACCAGAATGGCGGCGCCAATCGCGTCGGCTCCGGAACCTGCCCGCAGGTACCTCCGTAAGTCCCGCACAGCCGCGTCAAGTTGCCCCACAGCCCCAACGCCTCCCCGCACGGGCGCGGCCAACACAGGCGCCAGGAGGAGGGCAATCTGGTCGGCCGCGTCAAGACAGTCGTCCCGCGGGCCGTCAAGCAGGGACTCCGCCGGGACAGGCGGAAGAGACCCGTGCGCCATGGACTGCACAAGCAGGAGCGCACGAAGGCTCTCCGAGAGCCTCCATAACTGTCCGAGCGTCGCCTCCGGAACCTCGGCGCACGGGGGAAGGAGCTCCTCAGCCAGAGAAGGGAGCTGTAGTCGAGGAAGTCCAGCCCCACCACTACGAGCAGGGGCCGAGGGAGTCGGCAGTGACACCGCGGGCGTCGGAGCAACCACGGGGCGAGCGACCGGAAGGGGAGCAGACGGCGTTGGAGCCGCACGCCGCGAGCTGTTATGACTCGCCGGGCTGGCCTGACCGTCGCGAAACGCCTCAGTCACAATCTGCCGCATGTCCGCGATTGTTGCTGGCGCGTCCAGCCACCCGCCACGCCCGCGACCGCGACCTCCCCTCCAACCACCCTGGTGCGCATGCCAGTTCGCCTGCGGCTGCCGCCGGCGCCAGAACGAAGGCAGGTACAGGCGCCGGCGCCACCACGCGCGGTTGGACGGCCACACCCGCCGACTCTCGTCCAGAGTCGACTACCGTGGAGCACGCGTGAGCAGGAGAACCCGCGACAGACATTGCCGCAACAGGGGTAACCGGCGCCGACTGCACCGGCGAGGCAAGCGCAGCTGACGCCACGCCAAACGGCCACGGCGAATACGGCACCGGGGAACCGCCACCAACCGCCACAGGCAGTACGAGGAGGCAGAGGCGAGCGGCAGCGAGCTGCGGGGCGTGGCCGAGGACGGGAGAACGGCTTCCAACGGGCGGCGAGGCTAGCTTTAACATATGCGGATGTCAACAACGCGGCGGAGGATGAAGCAGATGAGGCACAAGACCCCACCTTTATTGCCCAGCCAGCCGCTGAATCAACCACTGAAGGAAGGGGTGGGGATGAAGGTGAAGCTGCTCCAGGAGTTGAGAGTCGAGTGAATGTTGCAACAACCCCCCGAGCCGCATCTGCACAAGTTGGAATTGAGGGGGAATCAAACCCAGACGCACCCCCCACCACCGCACCACCAACACGCCAATTTTCGCCAGAACAGCTGGCGAAGGACACTGTCCGCTTCAACGAAGTCCGCACTTGGGACCTGACACCACTACGCGACAGTCGTCAGCCCCCCCTCTCCCGCAAAATACCGCACGACATTCGCACCAGCTTCGCAAACGCGCTGCTGACACCCCTTCTGCACCTCGCACGCCACCCTGACTCAGTACCCGGTTGGCGCCTGTTTCTCTTTATTCCCCGCCTAATCCTTCGCCAGGCGAAACCAGGGAAGCCGGATTGGCCCGCAGTGAAGTTGCGACTTCGCCAGTTTTTCAAGGGCGAATGGGAACAGTTGTACGAGGAAGCTGTGGCAGCGATCAACACCCCTCCAGCGCCACGTCACCAGCCGGACGAGTTGGGAAAGCGCGCCAGAGCAGAGGGACTTGTTCGAAAGGGCAGCCTTCGGCGGGCTATCCTGGCCCTCGAATCTACACCCGTGGCAGATCCAACGCCCGAAACACTGGATTCACTCAAATCCAAGCACCCACCCGCGCCACCTGGACACATTGACTGGACAACAACGGACGAGGCCCACATGGTGACCATCACCTCAGCTGCATTCGCAAAAATCCTATGCCGCTGCGAAAACGGAGTGGGGGGAGGGCCGTCTGGGATGACGTTCGAACACCTTAGGGATGCAGCTATCGCCAACGCAGCCGTTACCACCCACCTCCACGCTCTCGTCAGCACAATACTCCGAAGGAAACTCCCCGAAGAGGTGTGCTCCTTGCTCACGTCCTCCCGCCTCATCGCTCTCGCCAAGCCAGAGGGAGGGACTCGGCCCATAGCCGTAGGAGAGTGTGTCCTACGCCTCGCGGCAAAATCGGCACTTTCCTCACTAGCAGAAGCGGCACGAGCCCATTTCCTCCCACTCCAGTACTGCGTCGCCGTCCAGGGAGGTAGCGAAGCAATAATCCACGCCGCCAGATCGTACATGAGCACGCATTGCGACGCCACAATTCTTCAGGCGGATCTCTCAAACGCATTTAATAGCATCAGTCGCGAGGCAATCGTAGCAGGCCTACGCGGAAGTACGCTAGAAGGGATCCTCCCCCTAGTTCACTCCTCTTACGGCGCACCGTCTGAGCTATTCCTCGACGCTGGCTTTAATAGTCCTCCTATATCCAGCATTACAGGGGTCCGCCAGGGCGACCCACTCGGGCCCTTGCTCTTCGCCACGGGCATCCACCTGTCCCTCGCCGCGACCGCAGCCGCCTTCCCGACCGTGCTCTGCCTCGCATTCGCTGACGATGTCACGTTCTTGGGCAAAGTGGCGGAGTGTACAGCGGCGTTCAACCACTTCACGAGCAGCCTCCATAGCATGGGGCTCAGGCACAACGCGGGGAAATGTGCGGCGTGGAGCGCTGTTCGACCACCGGAGGGGGCCTTGCCGGAGGGGGTCCCATTCTGCCACGACGGGCTGCGTGTTCTGGACAGTTTCATCGGCGCGCCAGATGGAGCAGCAGCATTTATTCGGGCACAGCTGCAAGCCATGACAACCCCACTCCCGCAGATAGCCGACCTGGAACCGCAGGCAGCGTCACCGCTGCTGACGAGGTGCATCTCGAGGCGGATGTCATACCTCGCGCGCACAACCCCACTGAGCCTTCTGCCCGAAGAAGAATGGTCACGGTGGGGCCAGAAGCTGCTCCACACACTGCTCGACGCCTGCGGCGTGCGCCATCCGAGGGAGGATGCGGAGGAACGACGCGTGTGGGACCAGGATTCCCTCCCCCCAAGCCTCGGAGGCCTGGGGCTAGTGGACCCAGCGGTTGAAGGGCGCTACAGCTACCTGGCAAGCTTCGTCCAGGCGCACGGACTCCTAGCCTCCCTGCCCGGCCCCGCAGGAGCCCACCTCTCCACCGCCCTGAACTGGACAGAGGAGGTGGATCCGGACCCAAACCAACTGCAAGCCTGGCTTGGGGAGTGCAAGGCAAGCCTCACACAGGAAGGACGTGACCTGCTGGCGGCAGAAATGGCAGCGCCCAAAGGACAGCTGCAGCACCGCCTTGCCCTCTTGGTCCAGGGCGGACGCAGTGCCGCTCAGGTTGCAGCATCACGGCATATGGAGCTGAACCCCCTTTGCGGGCACACTCAGCGGCTCTTGTCCCTCACAGGCTACGGCGCAGGGGACTGGCTGATAGCCATCCCCTACATGCCCTCCCTCCGCCTCGACCCCGACCACTTCTCGTTCGCCCTCCAGTTCCGCCTAGGACTGCCTCTCCCCGTCCCTAGCAACTGCGACTGCACAAAAAGAGTCGCCATAGCAGACAAGCGCCTCCCCAACCACCTCCTCCGCTGCAGCACAGGGCACGGACGGACCAACACACACAATGAGCTGCGGGACGAGTGTGTGCGTATGGCTCAGGACGCGGGGTTCATCGTGCATAAGGAGAGTACGGCATTTAGCCCGGTCGACAACAATAAGGCCGACCTGGCCATTCGGGACAGAAGCTATGGGGCAGTGTGGCTGGGTGACATAACCATCACCGACCCTATCAGCAAAAGGGATGAGACTACCAGGAAGGGACGGGGATGGGCAGCAAGGGAGGCAGCAGATAAGAAAATTGGGCTATACCACGGCAGGGCTGAATTTGCAGGCTTTTACCCTCTGGCAGTCGAGACCTATGGCTGCCCATGTGACGAGGTACAGGCTTTCCTGAAGCACCTGGCGGACAGAGCAGCACGCTTACACTTCAACGCGAACCCCTCAAGCTTCCAGGCCGCAAAGCTGCTGCACCAGTTCCGCCAGCGTTGGTCTGTCGCCCTGCAGAGGGCACAGGCCGTGAGCTTCCTCATCAAGCTGAACCTTGCAGCCCAGAAGGAGAACCCTGCCTTAGGAGGCCCCGAGGGGGTCCTGGACCCGAGGGAGTGCTTTGCTACCCTAGAACCGGGCAATGGTAGCGAGTAGAAGTCTGGGGGGGGGGGAAAGGGGGTAGGGAAGAGAATAGTTAGACAAACTTGTTTGTTGCTTGCTTACTTGCCTTTGCCTCATTTCTATACGATACAAAGGACCGTTCGAGAGAGAGAGAGAGAGAGAGAGAGAGAGAGAGAGAGAGAGAGAGAGAGAGAGAGAGAGAGAGAGAGAGAGAGAGAGAGAGAGATAGAGAGAGAGAGAGAGAGAGAGAGAGAGAGAGAGAGAGAGAGAGAGAGAGAGAGAGGGGCACTAGGAACTTAGTCCTTAGCCTCCCATACCTCTCTAGCTTCTCATAGCCTTAGTATAGCCTTAGTACAAGCACTACTCCTTGCTGGATTTCTTAGTGTTACTCTTTATGTGCCTTCTAAGGAGTACAACCCTCTACAAAAGGCCCACCTGCCCTCTCCCTTTTCATTAGTTTCTGGTGAGTTGGCATACTCCCAACCCAGCGGCTTCGGCGGCCGGCGCTCGACAGCGCGGCCTTCAGCCGCGCGTGAGGGGTTGCAAGGGAAGAAGGAGCAAGCACTATAATAGGGAGCATTACAACATGCTGCGGCAGGGCAGCCCAGGGAACTAAGGCTAGGGGAGTAGGAGAAGGGAGAACATGGGGAACAAAAAGGCCAATGCCAAGGCACAGAAGGGCCTGGCCGCTACACGTAGTTCAACACGTAAAACCGCCGGCGGATCCAACGGAGCAAGGACGCGAGCGCAGGCACGAGCTGGAGGGGAGCCTCTTCGGCAGCCGTGGCTACCCTGCGGAAAGCCCGCGCGCCAGGCCCCTCGTCATCGTCAGGGTGCTCGGACTCAAGGGGCAAGCGGAGGAGGCGCCAAAGACCCTGCGCTGCAGTTTCGCGCACAAGACCCTGCTGGTGCTCCGTCAGCTGGGGGTCCCGGAGCACAAAGTTCCGTGCCTCCAAGCCAGCATGCAGCTGCTCCAGAGACACTCGCCAACCCCAACGAAGAACGTCGAGGACGAATCTAGACTGGGAGTCCCAGTCACGAGCCCAAGTTGTCCCGGGCTGCGGCGGGGACTCCCACGTCTCCCCATTCCACCACCGCTCGTCATCCTCAGGGTCGGGAGCATCGGGAGGGAGCTCGGGAGATCGAGCTCGAGGAGGAGGATATCGGGCAACCGGAGCAGGGGCGGAAGGGACGAGAGGGCGCTGCCACTGAGGAAACTCAACCGGAACAACGGTCGCAGGGGGAGGCGGAGAACGAGCGGGAGGCACGAGAGGAGCCCCAGCGGAAGGAGCAGGGGGGAAAGGAGCCGGAGGAGGAGGCGAGGGGGATGGCGGCGCCGAGCAGGAGGAGGGGGGTGGTGCAGGAGAGGGCTGCGACACCAGGGAAGGCAACGCCGCAGTACCAGACGAATGCGGGTGTGACGACTGAAGAGACACGGACGGCGAGGGGGAGGGAGATGACATCAGGCGATAAGGAGGCTGCTGCTGAAGGAGGGGACCGACGATCTGCTGCTGGACAGCAGGAGTGTGGCGAGGCGGAAGACGATGGCGAAAGGAGCCGCCACGATCCCGGAGATGTAGATGAGTCCGCCCACGGGGGGAACGGTAGACCGGCTCTCGACGACGGGAGGGGGTTCCGGCCCCCTCGTGCTCTACCAGGGCAGCGGCGGCTCGGAGCAGGGCTGGCGCCAGCCCGCCCTGGGCCTGTGACGGGTTGGGAGCAGTAGGACTCGCCGAGCGATCTGATCGCCGGGGGGGGGGGGCAGCGTTTGCCCGTCATCGATGCGAGACCTGCAAGCACAACCAGATACAGGAGAAGAGCAACGGCAGGCGGGTCAGACTGGCAGAGGTGGGGAAGAGTCAT